TCTTGCCTCCTATTAAGCTACATATGTGAACACATGAGTGCCATCATAACATTACATTTTTTCAACTAATAAAAATATCGACTTCAAACAAAATAAATCTTGTATTAAATTCCTCACAACACCCACCTAGTATATTTAACATTAAATTGCACCCATTTTTTCTCATTTTTCCATCCTAAGTAATTTGCAATTTACTCCGTAATTAACCTACATAAAAAATGTATAATTTAAAATGTATCTTTTGAATGAAATCACATCAACTTTAAAATATTCGAAAAAACATTTTCTAAAATTTCTCCATACATGAAATATCTCATCGAACTTCTGCATTTTATGCTAAAACGGTGTACCTTGTCTTTGATTACGTTGCATATGTAAATTCGAAAATGCTATGAAATACATTTTTTACGAACTAGGTCAAATATCGACTTCAAATGAAACGAACCTGCCAGGGAACACTTCCCTTCAACTTCTGCATGCATTTGCATTAAAAGTTAGATTAATCTTTTGCTTTTTGCGGAACATTTTGTTATTTATCAAGCTCTGCATTTGAAATTCCTCGATCAAAATGTAGATTTAATTTATTGAAACATCGAATTTGAACAAGGTTTCAAGAAATTTCTACTTTATTCGCACAAAATGATTAATTAAATTTTTTTGAATAATTCTCTGGGAATTTGATTAAATTTTCTTGGATAATTTTCTGGAAATATGATTCAATGATTAAATTAATAATTTTCTGGGCGTTTGCTTAAATTCATTTTGCATTTCATTATCTGGTATGAATTTCTAAATTCTATGATTTAATAGACCGAATTTTTTAATTTAATGGCAGCTGCATTTTTCAAGGAATGAAAAATCAGTGCAAAATCATTTTGTCGCTTACTGATTTTTACTACGATTTTTAGTACAACTTGAAAGTTGAAAGTTAAAATATAATATATTGTTAGAACTACTTTTTAAAGCTTCTAGCAAAAAGTGCTGTTATTTTTGGAAAGTCAGTTATTTAAGGGTTAGACGATAAGAATATCTAGGGGTAGTCACTCCGACAGGGTGAAATGGGGATAAACGAGAGAAAATAGCAAAAACAAGGGATTTTCTGCCATTGGTCGAGCTCCCACGAGGATTTTCAGTAATCCTTTGAGAATTGAGACTGTTCAACGGAACGAGGATCGAACAAATATTCCTTGACCTTGACGGACAATGAAAATCTCATCCCGAAGGAGCTATTCAGTCTAAAGCACTTTAAATCCTAAGATAAATTGGTTACATCTCTTCCTACATGCACTTCGAATTTCGATCAACACTCATCCTGAAATTTTTGCAAAAAACAAAATGCGTTAAAAAATATTCTTTCACTTCACGTTTCATTATCCGGTGTTTGGATTAATTACAACTGCGTCGTGATGAATTTGCCGAATGACAAATTTGTATAGGAAATACTGAGCATTTATTTTATCAGGCTGAAAAGCGCTTTGATCAACGCGGAAACTGATATCGCAAATATTATTACTCATTCCGCTACTGTTATTAAATGTAAATTTGTTGAAAGGAAAATTAAACGAGTACGCTTACAAGAATACAGCATTCGAATTTCCGAGAGAAACATTCGGTTCGTCATTCAGTATTTGCGGCGAATGTAGAATTACACCTTTTCAACGAATTTATGGTCGTTCGAAATTAATGAATCCGCTTTGCTGCAACAACGCAGATTAATTATAATTAATGTTTTACGCTTTATGCAGAATAATAACGCGAAAAATAAGATGTGTTTGTAGGAAAAATATTGTAGAAAAGGTAACTAGAAAGATAAACTCAAAATAAAAGGCGTTCTACTCCCACTATGGAGACGGTAGCCATTTCGCGCGCTAACTTGTGGGTTGACATTGGTACATAGCAAAAATTTAATACAAAATGGTAAAAATATATGTATCAATTGTCACAACAGTATGACAATAGTAATTCTATGCGCAGTAATTCGGTGTGTGGTAATTCTATGCGTAGTATTTCCACGCGTGATAATTCTACGCGCAGTAATTCCATGCGTGGTAATTCAGTGCGTGGTAACTCCACGCATGGTAATTCGACGCGTGGTAATTCTATGCGTACTAATTCCACGCGTGGTAATTCCACGCGTACTAATTCCACGCATGGTAATTCTACGCGTAGTAATTCCACGCGTGGTAATTCTACGCGTGGTAATTCTATGCGTAGTAATTCCAGGCGTGGTAATTCAGTGCGTGGTAACTCCACGCATGGTAATTCTACGCGTGGTAATTCTATGCGTACTAATTCCACGCGTGGTAATTCCACGCATACTAATTCCACGCATGGTAATTCTACGCGTAGCAATTCCACGCGTGGTAATTCTACGCGTACTAATTCCACGCGTGGTAATTCCACGCGTGGTACTTCTACGCGTGGTAATTCTACGCGTGGTAATTCTACGCGTAGTAATTCCACGCGTGGTAATTCGACGCGTGGGTAATTCTACGCATGGTAATTCTACGCGTAGCAATTCCAGGCGTGGTAATTCCACGCGTACTAATTCTACGCGTGGTAATTCTACGCGTAGTAATTCCACGCGTGGTAATTCAGTGCGTGGCAAATCCACGCATGGTAATTCAGCGAGTGGTAATTCAACGCGTGGTAATACACGAAATGGTAATTCAACGCGTGGTAATTCGACGCGTGGCAATTCGATGCGTGGTAATTCGGCGCGTTAAAATTCGATACGTGGTAATTCGACTCGTAATAATTCCACGCGTGGTGATTCACCAATCCCAGCACAATTTCTATAATAATAGAAACAACTCGGCAGTAAAAATATAATAAAAAATGAAAGTACCAGATATTAAAAATATGATAACAGAAAAAGTCTCTCTCAGCCATAATAAAAAAGTAACATAAAATAGAAGTGTAAGAGTTATCGAAAGTCCTCGGTCATAATTCCAAGCAAAGTTAAACGAACACATTCGATGGGATAATTTCGAACTTTATTTTTAATGAAAGAGAATTAACGAAACAAGAAATAACTGGAAATTGTGAAACTGTTTTCACAATTTCAGTATTAATTCGAGGTTTGGAGTCGTTAAAATCCTTTCGAGAGAAATTCAAGTGGAACGACTAGTTTCAAGTTCGCAAAGGGGATTACAAAGTTTAAAATATACCGGGCGAAAATTAATCTGCTACTCCCTTTGTCCTTGACATGTTGAGGGAACAAAGGAAGACAAACTGCAAGTACCATAATATCCTTTAATTTTCGCTTCATTTTCGAGGAAGGAACTTTAACCATTTTTTAACGTTGATCATCGTTTAACTTTAGATTGAATATCTTTCCCTTTTCCTCAAAGATATTGTAATTATCGTACTGGTATAAAAGACGATATAATTTTTAATAAAGCGCTTTTGTTTCATAAATCTGTAATAGTTCGTGCATGTTAATCTCTGTTATAATTTTTGTGCGTTTAAGAGTTATGACTAATACTAAAAGTATGAATACTGTTTCATTTATTTTATGATTTTGCAAAGAGATTTGTTCCCTCAAGAGAATCGAAATACTTGTTTCCTATTTCCCAATTCATTTCACACATCCAACACAAAAATGGTTGCAGTTCGGGAAATTCAAGATTCTATTTTTCGAAGCACGTTCGGAAGTCTCTCTTAAATTATCTCGCAACAATTTCAAGGACCATCGAGCTGTTCGGGTTCGAATTCAGTCTGAAGAGGGATTCGAGTGAGGGAAGATCGCGACGTCTTACCCCCGTCGGGTAAAGTAAACACATTTTCGCGAGGTTTGGCAAGGAAAAACCGACAGCCAGTGGATTTCGATGGGTGTGTGCACACGCGACGCGACGGAAGTCCGCGTTCCATCGGGATTTGCAGTCAGCTCGGCACAGAGAACTCGATGAAATTGCTTTCGCTGCGTGCGTCGAACGCTTCTTTCCAATATGTCTGTGTTTATTGAGAGATCAACGCTCTTTCGAACAACCGACGAATTTTATGGAGTCACGGTCACGTTTATGGCGGGACGTGTTACCCCAAGAACAAGATTTGCCCCAACGACCGGGAATATTGACGATTCTGTCTGGATACTGACTTTTCAAGATCGACCGAGATGTGGCGACTTGGAAAATTCTTTCACGAATATACTCACTGAGGAATTCTCTCTTTCTAACACATCATTCATATGAAAGTTCAAAAAATTGTGGTTGCTGAACGTTTATGTACTGAACGTATGTTACATGTGGATATGTAGATATATGTATGTATATGTGGACATGTAGATGTGGACATGTAGATGTGGGCATGTAGACATATATATAAATATGTGGACATGTAGACGTATGTATGTAGATGTGGACATGTAGACATACGCATGTATATGTGCACATGTGGAAGTATGTATGTAGATGTGGACATGTAGACATATGTACGTATATGTGCATATGTAGATATATGTATATAGATGTGGACATGTTTTACCATCCTTTGAAATAGCAATTTTTAACTGATTGACCACATTACTTTACTCTTCGAAAGATGACAAGCTAGTATCTTTTAAATAATTTTCATAGTACATTAATACATATTTAGATAATTTTTCATCTTCACTCCATAATCATTTAATATGGCAAAAAGCAAAAAATAGTAATAATGTAGTTGTACTAAAATTACTTAACTGATAAATATTTTAGAATGCAACAAAATTTATAATAGTTAAAAAATTTTCCATGTATCGCTAACAAAATGGGTCGAAGTAACAATAATTAATATAGCCGGGTATAATAAAGTCCATCTTTACTAAGCGAATCGATGCGCGCATAAAATATTTACGCAACGACGAGGTAGAAAATGTATCGTTAATATAATTTTCAGTGGCCCGATACAACTTGACCCAGATGAAAATCGTCGATTTCAGAAATCAAAGCTCTTCGAATTTATTCTTGACTTTCATGGAAGCCATCGATAGAAAACGAGAAAGAATAATAGGTACTCACGATATCGAAGTCGAGGTTCTCCGCGATCCAATCACGACCCTGCTTGAATTCGTCGTGAAGACCCATGATGTAAAGAGTGTCGAGACCATCGACTATGGTTGCACCCATGTTCGAAGCACCGAAGATGCTGGCACTGTGACCTCTCTTCGAGATCGGTCTTAGTTCGTTTTTACCCCAAGCGTATCTCACGTAATTGTCCCAGCCATGTTTCATCATCTGAAATAAAAAGAACAATTAACCTTCATCGTTCGAAGCTCGTTATTTATTAGCTCTATTATTTTCTTGAATTGCATTTTATTTGAAATTCGATATTTTTAAACTGGATCTGCAAGCTTAAATTCCGGCTTTGCATTAATGACACGAAAGCTTATTTCCACGTTTCTGAATTTTTAAATGATCAAATCTTTAAATGGACACTCGATCAAATTATATTTTTGAATTTTTAAACAGAGTTGTAAAGCCGGGTCTTGAACGAATGAAATTTAAATTGGGATGTGACACATATATTTTTGAATTTATAAATAATTCCAAAGTTATCAATTTTCAAATTCTTAAATCCCCAAGTTTGATAATTACATACTTCTGTATTTTTATCAGAATTTTCGCTGAATTCGCAAGTTTCTTTGACCAGTTTTTAAAACGTAGAAATTGGAAATTTTTGATCGGAAATGGAAATTTTTAATTGGAAAAATGGAAATTTTTGATTGGAAAAATGGAAATTTTTACTCTGCAGGTCAGATTTCTAAATTGTTCCACAAAATCCGAAATTACATTCCTAAAAGCCTAACAAATCATTAAAAAATTATTTTCTCTTTTCTCTTAACCCTCACACAATAGTATTTTAATTCGGTGTGTGGTAATTCTATGCATAGTAATTCCACGTGTGGTAAGTCAGTGCGTGATAATTCGACGCGTGGTAATTCGACGCGTGGTAATTCGATGCATGGAAATTCGATGCGTGGTAATTCGATACGTGGTAAGTCGATACGTGGTAAGTCGACGCGTGGTAATTCGCCGAGTGGTAATTCGATACGTGGTAATTCGACGCGTGGTAATTCGATACTTGGCGATTCCACGCGTGGTAATTCTACGCGTGGTAATTCTACGCGTGGTAA